TTTCACCGGACTAAGGGGAAAATCATACTAGATAAGGTTCAGAATGGGCATGGTGGGAATGAATGCTTTCCTACTGTTGATGTTGGGCTGGTGTGTGATCAGTTAGAAAAGTTAGACATTTATAAGTCTGCAGGACCAGATGAATTTCATCCAAGAGTGCTGAAGGAGCTGGCTGAGCTCATTGTGGGACCTCTGGTGAATCTCTTCCAAAACTCATGGTGCTTGGGGGAGGTCCCTGAAGACTGGAAGAGGGCCAATGTTGTGCCCATCTTCAAGAAGGGGAGGAGAGAGGACCCAGGCAGCTATAGGCCAATTAGTCTAACTTCTATCCCAGGGAAAATCCTGGAAAAATTCATCAAGGAGTCTATGTGCAATATACTTGCAGAAGGTAGGATTCTGAGTGACAGCCAGCATGGCTTCGTTGTGGGGCAGGTCTTGTCTTACCAATCTCATCTTGTACGACCAGGTAACTTGCCACTTGGACTTGGTTAAGAGAGAGGAGTTAGACATTGTATACTTAGACTTCCAAAAGGCCTTTGATCTCATATCCCATTATGTTATCATGGGAAAATTGAAGGATTGCAGGTTTAGCTGCCTGACAGCTAGGTGGGTAGGAAGCTGGCTGCTAGGTAGGACCCAGAGTGTTCTAATGAATGGATCTGTGTCGTCCTGGTGAGAAGTGACCAGTGGCATCCCTCAGGGGTCTGTGCTTGGTGCAGTGCTTTTCAACATCTTTATCAATGATTTGCCTGTGGGGGTGAAGAGCTCACTGGTCAAGTTTGCTGATGACACTGAGTTGTGGGGGAGCATGGTCACGCTTGAAGTTAGGTTGCAGATGCATGTGGACCTAGATAGGCTGGCAGGTTGAGTGGATTGGAACCAGATGAAGTTCAACATTGAGAAGTGCAAAGTGCTCCATCTGGGGACAAACAATCCCCAACATATTTACAGGTTTGGTGGTGCCAAACTGACTAGCACCAAGAACGAAAGGGACTTAGGGGTGATAATAGACCATAGTATGAACATGAGCTGTCAGTGCGATGCTGTAGCCAGCAGGGCAAACAATACTCTGGCATGCATCAACCGATGCATCTCAAGCAAAACCAAGGAAGTGATTCTTTCACTTTATTCAGCATTGGTGAGACCGCAGCTGGAGTACTGCTTCCATTTCTGGGCACCGCACTTCAACAGGAACGTAGAAAATCTTGAGAGAGTCCAGAGAAGTGCCACCCGTACGATTGGAGACTTGCGAGGCAAGCCATAGGAGGAAAGACTGAGGGATTTGTGTCTCTTTAGCCTAAAAAAGAATAGTCTGAGAGGGGATTTGGTAGCAGCTTTCTGCTGTGTCAGGGGAATACATCAAGGGCTTGGTGAACAGCTGGGGCACCCTTGGAGAAAACCAGGCGTAATGGCCACAAACTCCTGGAAGACCATTTCAGGCTTAACTCTAGGAGAAACTTCTTCACAGTTAGTGTCCTGACTGTGGAATATACTCCCTCCAGAGGTGATGCAATCACGTACCATGGAACTCTTCAAGAGGAGACTGGATGGTCAGCTTGCTGGGGTCACCTGACCCCAGTTGTCTTTCCTGCCTGGTGCAGGAGAGCTGGACCTGGTGATTTTGTGAGGTCCCTTCCAGCCCTTTATAATCTATGCATCTAAGCTAACTCATGGTCCTGAGCATCCTAGGATGCTTTGCACCTTCCTCACAAGCCCCCGCCCTTGCAGGGTGGGTGGGCTAGCCTTAGCCCAAGGTATCTGCTCCAGCAGAGCAGGGAGGTGTGCTTTAGCGGCCCCCAGCTCCTGGTCTGGGCCACTGCAGTTATGTGGCTGCATTTCTGGAATCAAAAGTGAATGCCTGTTCACTTGCTTATCAGTTCAATCTACACAGCTTAGACTAACCTACAAAAATTGAATTGATTCAGTCCCAGGCTTTTTGATTGTCTGCACTTAGCCTAAGAGACAATGGAAGAGGTAAACTGTTCTGGTTTAGCTTCTTGCCGGTGGAGGAGGACAGTAGTTATACAGACACTTCAGTGGATCTGCTGTTGTGCAGTAAGGCCTTCCCCTGCTTTTAACCTGGTGCAACTATTCCACCTATCCATTCACTGAATTCGAGTTGTACTTCAGAAAGCTTGATTTTTCTGTTATTGCCATTCTCTTTGCAGCTGTGTAACACAGTCGACTTTGGTGGAGATAGTTTCATAGTTTCATAGATTAAGGGTCGGAAGGGACCTAGTAGAGCTTCTAGCCCGACCCCCCGCCAGGGCGGGAGAACAACAAAAACCCAAAAAACAAGAAACAGGACTCAAATGAGTCCAGCCA